GGTGCAAACTTATTGACACAAAATGCACCCACACTAAGTGGCCACCTGAAGTTTCGAGTCAATCCAAATAAAAAATGTATAGGCGCTTTTGGCACATAGGCTGACACAAATCCCATAGTATACCATTAGTCAGCAAGCATGCTGTTTGAAAGTACATAAATAAGAATGCAAGTGAATGTTTTAAACTTTTGGAAAGAACGAGAAAGGTTTAGAGCATTTGTCAGGTTTCCATTGCTAGAGCTGCAGTTAGGAGACACTGGATTCAAATATAAATAGACCTCACAGTCAAGATATACAATGTATTGCACTGTACCAGGGGCGGACTGACAACTCATGGGGCCCCCGGGCAAAAGGGGATCATGGGGCCCCTGTGTCCTCACCCCACACCCAAAAAAGCCTATGAAAAGGTAACAGGGGCATCTCATGGGCCCTCTACTGACTCCGGGCCCTCGGGCAGTTCCCAAATGGTCAGTCCGCCCTTGCACTGTACAAGGGCTCTGTTTGGAAGCTTGCAGATATAAAGAGGTCTCTTGGTATAGGAGGGGAAAACCAATGAGGTCCAGGAAAAACAGGAGAATGTTAGGGAAAATGTTAAGAGGCCATGTACAGTTTATTCGGATATAGGTTTCAGATATAGGTTTTCATTTCTGTCTGTATCTCCATTGGATAGATCTGCCCTTATCCTTATCAAAGGACCAGGTAACAATGGGATAGAAAATGTAGGTCTCCTCTCTTCAGCAAGAGATCTGTGAGCAGATCCTCTTCTGAATCAGAGCTTAGCGAGACACGTGTCAGTTTTTTTTACATCTGTGACCATTCAGTTTATGTCTGCATTTATACAGTGGACACATGAAAACCTGTGGTGGCTTTATGGGTGGCTGGATGTAAATGGAAAATAATAAGGGATCCTCCTGCGCTCATGGGAATAATTGACAAAATACAGCTGCTGTCACTTAGCTGATACCAATAAGTGCAAAATAAATTAAAAATTAGTGAAGCGCTTGTATCACATGAATACAATCATGTATCTCCATATAGTGTAATTATAAATCAAAGTGACCACTATATATAATAAATGTGTGTTGACTCCCTCTAGTGAAAAGAAAAAATAGTGTCAACCAAAATAGCTAAATAACACACATTAGGAAAACTAAATATATAGTGCATAAATCAAATATAATGAACAGAATATATATATACGTGAAAACAGAATATTGGCCACATACAATGGTGTCTAAATTATACATAAATGATATATGCCATAGGTGAACAAGACAATATCAAAGGTGAAAAAAATATTCCATGCATGTGACTGTGCTTTAAGCTGGAACACACACGTGATCTCCACTTCTAAGTGCAAGTACTCTCCTTCAAATGGCAGCAGTGCCTGCTCACCTCCCTTCCTCGACCCACACAGGGCCTCAAAGCAGTTACCACCTCAGTGGTGTATTCCTCTGGCAGACTCCTTATTCCTCCTCCTCTTATGCAACTCATAAAAAGACAAGAAAGCCTTCCATAGTGTAGTAAATTTAATAGGCAAAGTTAAAAATTACAAAGTTTTCCACTCACATGCTCCTTTCCATAAAAAAGCGTTTTTCCCAGCCTGTGGGTAGATATGCATGCACCTGGGGGAATTATATATAGTGGTCACTTTGATTTATAATTACACTATATGGAGATACATGATTGTATTCATGTGATACAAGCACTTCACTAATTTTTAATTTTATTTTGGATGTAAATGGACTTGTGTCTCTTTACATCAGACTACCTCTGATCCATCATGTTTAGATCTGAAAAGGATGGATTCCTTTTCCATTTTTGTTTACAAACCTGTACAGACTCAAAGGTAGGTGGGTTTAAATGGACACAAGTTAATTTACATCAGCTTGTCCATAGACCCACATGGAGCTTCCAATCAAGTCCGCCTGAAAAATTGACAGGTGGACCTAACTGGAAAGCCCATGTCAAAGGGCCCTAAGCCTCCCTAAATAGGAACAGACAGCAATGACAAACAGTTTTTGAATGGAGAGAAAGGGTTAAAACCAAATTTTCAGGCTGGTGAGATTTCCTCAATTTCTGCCCCAGCACCAATGGTCACAATCAGGGGAATTTTCCCCAACAGAAAACACATACAACAGTAAAAACCTGAAAGAGATTCTAATCCTTCACTTTATTCATAACAAAAATACAACAATTTTGGCTGGAATGATACTTTTGTGGCTTATTTAGTGTGGAAAGTTCAGTAAACCAATCAATAAGAATTCATCTTTTGGTCTGTCCTGAGTATACATTAAATATTCATTGGATGACTTAAATTACTGAACTTTGCATATTATTATTAAACCTTAGATCCCCTAGACCCCCAACCCCATCACTCAGCTGTTAAATGCAGGAATCTTGATGGGCAGTAGGGTAGACGATAGTGATGTGCTCCTAATAAATAAGTCTTGAAGATGAATTGCCTTTATGATTCACCAATGTTAATTGGTGAACATAGGGTTCATTGCTGTTTTTAATCCTCAAACTCTAACTATATTCCCTCGTTCCATGCATGAGTGCCTCTTTTATTGCATTTCAATCATCATTTTCAAGCAACTCCAGGGAGTTTATTCCACTTTCGTCCTTTACTGGGCAATATCATGACACGACATTGCCTTAATCCTCTCTATTTTGTCTCTGAATAATTAATATGATCCAAAGTGCACAGTAAGAAATGATTAATAATCCTGCTAAATGCAGAATGGTGCCATTTACCATGTGCCCCAGTCATACACTGCATTCTGTGTGTGGAAGAAAGGACCAAATAATTGACCCGTGTTATGCTTATTAAATACTGCTTAGCACTTTACTACTAAAAATTATCTCTAATGGCATGTCATGATTAATGAGAAAGGCCAGACAGGGCAGAAAACTTTTAAAGGTGAATTTTAAAACAAAAGCCTAATAACCCCATAAAGACAGCTTTATAGCTAGCAATTTGGGTCCATCAAGCAGTATTATCATTTTATAGATAAGAAAAATTCTATTTTGTGTGCTGCTTAGGTTACTGACTTGTGCGCAAACAGGTTGGCTAGACTCTTCTGGATGTTGGGGTTACATGATTAGCTCAGCAGAGTTAGGTATAACAGTGGTTTTGGCTGAAAGGAAACGCATGCAACTGGAAAGCACTCTAACAAGTGGTATGTGTCAGATGAAGTTGTTCATGAAGTTGTTCATAGTCAGGGGAACTCCAAGGTCAGTGTAAAGTGACTGAGATGATGCTGTTGGATCAGATGGCTTAGGTAATGAAGGTAAAGAGGTTACAGTCCTTATGTAGGATTCATAACGTTTTATAGCTCATTGGTGTTTTGTGTAAGTTACACATTTTTTCTACCTTAGCCAGAAGTCCCAGCAGGGAGAGCTCCATGTTGCACTTGTTTTCAGATGTCTATAGAATTGTCCCACACCTAAAATTTTGATCTGAAATGCTCTGTCATGACAATTATGATGTTCAATTTACTTGTACCAATGTCATCTTTGGACAGGCAATGGGATTGGGTTGATGGCATCAGTTTGAAATCAGTTTGGTTAATTACTATGAAAATAACTTCACAGCCATCATCTTACCATTAAAATGATGGGGAAAAGTTAGCTAGGATCTGTAAACAAGTGAAAAGAAAAAAAGAAGTAAAAAGGTAAGCAGCAATTTTTAACTATTTTTTAAGTTATGCTATGCGAACAAGATCATGTACCAAACAAAGGAAGAAGTGAGCGCTTTAAACGGACAAGCAGCTGAAACACATAGGAACAACCAAAAAAATTCCTCACATGAATATAATTATAAAGTGCAGCGCTACAGTTGTGACTTAAAAATAAAAAAGGGGGAAAAAAAAAGCAAAAAAAGGAAAATTAAGCTCCACAATGCTCCGACGGTGTGGAGTCGTGGAGCTCCACAATGCGCCGTCGGAGCATTGTGGAGCTCCGGCGGCCACTACATCTGACAGGACGGTTAGTCCTGTTTGCTTTGTTGCTAGCTTTTTGCTTTGCTAGCCGTGTACTGTTTTACTTGATTGCTATTGGATGCATCCTGTCTTATACTTATTAAACCTATTCGATTATACCTCACCATGGGCATTTTTCTTGATTCCTTTGTGGGGAGTATCTCCTCCTAGATACCGCTGATGTGGAGTGGAGGAGTGGTGGTTTTCTCCGGTGGAGCTGTGATTTCTTCCTTGCTGTCTAGTGGAACGTGTGCTGCTTTGGTCTGAGGATCTTCACTGATCCAGGGATTGCATCTACCTCTGTTCCCTGACTACATCTTGGACTCCATCTCTGCCACATTGCATGCACCTCTGGCCAGTGTGCACGGCCACCTGAAGTCATCTTTACTGGGACCTTTTTTTACATTGGGACTTAATTTTCCTTTTTTTGCTTTTTTCCCCCTTTTTTATTTTTAAGTCACAACTGTAGCGCTGCACTTTATAATTATAAGATAATGTACCAACTAAAAAGTAGGTGATATCTCAATCTGGCTGAAAAAGTTAAAATACACTGTAACCCAATGCACTGGATATAAAGATAGGATAGGTGTGTGTTAGCTAAGCTGCAAAGAATATACAAAAGGATAGGTTAAGGACAGCCTAGGGATTAGAATACTTTGTAAGGATCTTCACATTTTGAGGATCCATCGTTGCTGGCTTGAGTGATAGCTGAGCTACCATGTGTACAGCTTTCAGGTTCATTCTACTATGAAAATCCCATAACTAAAAAGGACAACCATCAAAGGAACCCAAAAGTAGCCAAACAAGTAAAGCACATGATATAAAAGTATTACATTTTACATTTTAGTGCTGCCCTAGTCACCATGAATGCCATATAAATATAAAACCCTGGTAGGGGCAATAGGTAGGTAATCTAAGGTCTGCACATATCCACATACATCACAAGCCTAACCTACTAGCTGCTGTATGTATACCTCTGAAAGAAATATATATATATATATATATATATATATATATATATACACTATATTGCCAAAAGTATTGGGACACCCCTCAAAATCATTGAAGTAAGGTGTTCCAATCACCTCCATGACCACAGGTGTATAAAATCAAGCACCTAGGCATGCAGACTGCTTCTACAAACATTTGTGAAAGAATGGGTCGCTCTCAGGAGCTCAGTGAATTCAAGCGTGGTGCCGTGATAGGTTGCCACCTGTGCAATAAGTCCATCCGTGACATTTCCTTGCTACGGTCAACTGTTAGTGGTATTATAACAAAGTTGAAGCAACTGGGAACAACAGCAACTCATAAAATGACGGAGCGGGGTTAGCGCTTGCTGTAGTGCACAGTGCGCAGAAGTCGCCAACTGTCTGCAGAGTCAATAGCTAAATACCTCCAAACTTCATGTGGCCTTCAGATTAGCACAACAACAGTGTTGGTCCTTTCTTCCACACACAGAATGCCATGGACTGGGTTTCCATGGCTGAGCAGCTGCATCAAAGCCTTACATCAGCAAGTGCAATGCAAACCATTGGATGCAGCGGTGTAAAGCACGCCGCTACTGGACTCTAGAGCAGTGGAGACATGTTCTCTGGAGTGACAAATCATGCTGCTCTGTCACTGGGAACAACAGCAACTGGGAACAACAGCAACTCAGCCACGTAATATGACAGAGAGGGGTCAGCACATGCTGAAGTGCACAGTGCTCAAACGTTGCCAACTGTCTGCATAGTCAATAGCTAAAGACCTCCAAACTTCATGTGGCCTTCAGATTAGCACAACAGTGCATAGAAAGTTTGATGGAATGGGTTTCCATGGCCGAGCAGCTGCATCGAAGCCTTACCTAACAGAGTGCAATGCAAAGTGTTGGAAACAGTGGTGTAAAGCACACCGCCACTGGACTCTAGAGCAGTGGAGATGTGTTTTCTGGAGTGACGAACAGATGCAGTGGTGTAAAGCATGCCACCACTGGACTCTAGAGCAGTGGAGACGTGTTCCCTGGAGTGACGAATCACGCTTCTCTATCTGGCAATCCAATGGACGTGTCTGGGTTTGGCGATTGCCATGAGAATGGTACTTGCCGGACTGCATTGTGCCAAGTGTAAAGGTTGGTGGAGGGGGGATTATAGTGTGGGATTGTTTTTTCAGGGGTCGGGCTTGGCCCCTTAGTTCCAGTGAAGGGAAATCTTGAGGCGTCAGCATACCAAGACATTTTGGACAATTTCATGCTCCCAACTTTGTGGGCACAGTTTGTGGATGACCCCTTCCTGTTCCAACATGACTGCACACCAGTGCACAAAGCAAGGTCCATAATGACATGGATGAGTGAGTTTGGGGTGGAGGAACTTGACTGACCTTAACCTGATAGAACACCATTGGGATGAATTAGAGTGGAGAATGCGAGCCAGGCCTTCTCATCCAACATCAGTGCCTGACCTCGCAAATGCGCTTCTGGAAGTATGGTCAAACCTTCCCATAGACACTCCTAAACCTTGTGGACAGCCTTCCCAGAAGAGTTGAAGCTGTTATAAGTGCAAGGGGTGGGCTAATTAAATATTGAAACCTACGGACTAAGACTGGGATGCCATTAAAGTTCATGTGCGTGTAAAAGATAGGCGTCCCAATGCTTTTGGCAATATAGCGTATATATATATATATATATACACACACATTACATACACAGTGCTCAGCATAAATGACACTACTTTTGAAAAGTAAGATTAAAATCAATATCTCAATGAACACGAGAGCGATTTCCAAAATTCTGACAAAACTGAGTTTTATAGAACATTTGTTTTAAGGTTACTAATAAGATTACAAAATCGTTAGTTTTACTCTAATTAGTCGATGCAAAAATTAAACCTCGCTACAACAAAAACTGCTACATCTAGTATTTTTTATGACCTCCATGATTTGTAAGGACAGCACCAAGTCTTCTAGGGATGGAATGAACAAGTTGGCGACATATTGCAACATCTATCTTTTTCCATTCTTCAAAAACAACCTCTTTTAGAGCCTGGATGCTGGATGAAGAGTGATCAGGGGACTAAAATGAACTCACTTTGCATCACCACCATGAATCACCCATACTAACCAGATTTAGGCTTCCAAAACTCCAATTTGTCACAACAATAACTTCTGGTTAGTTGATTTTGGTGCAAGCTGCTGCATGTTGCATATTGTTTTTACCCTTATTGAAAGCAGTGCCTGTAGCAAAAAAAAAAAAAAAAAAAATAGCGGAGGCAGGGGCGGACTGACAACTCATGGGGCCCCTGGGCAGTAGGATATCATGGGGCCCCTGTGTCCTTGCCCACACTCAAAGCACACCCAAAAAAGTATATAAAAGGTACCAAGGGCATTTCATGGGGCCCCCTACTGATCCCGGGCCCTCGGGCAGTGCCCGAGTGCTTGAATGGTCAGTCCGCCCCTGAGCGGAGGGCAGACATGACTAGGTGAATAGGGTAGGACAGACAGTAAAGGGATAAGGAAAGGTGGGAAGGTTGTAAAAATGTTAGGCTTACCTGATCGGTGATTGGTAGTGGGGGGTGGGTCTTCGGGACCTTTGGGAGTGGTGTAGGGTCGGATGATCTAGTACAGGAGTGGCAGCGGAAGAAGAAACTTCCCTCCCACCTTCCCTTGGGGTTGTTTGGGTCTTATAGTTCTTGGTTTGGGGCAGTTGTTGGTCTTTGGAGGCAGCAAATAATTTGAAGCTAAAGTGAATGGTTGGGACCCATCGGTGGTATGGTGTGCCCGGGTGCATTCCGGTTAACCAAGGTTTAACTGGAAGGTGGAGGTTGTGCACTGTAGATGGTGTGTTTTGTCCCTGAGCCGGTGTGTTGGGGCTGGAGGCTTAGTATTAATATTATGGTTAAGGTTCCACAGGGGATAATGGTATTGTTTTGTGCCTTCTAAGACTAACAACTTTTTACTGTTATGTTTCTGTTTTAAGGAATGTTTTTTTGTGTTGTTTAAGTTCAATTGTTAATAAAAGGCCGTTATGGGATATGTTGTGAAAAGAGAGACAGTTTGTGTAGGAACATGGTTCAGTAGCTATGGTCTTAACTAGCACATGTATTCAACACTAGTCAAGGAAACAAATAACAGGGTACACTAGGTCTGTTATAAAAAACTAAAGCAAAGTTAGCTGTCAGATTAGATTCCAGATGTCACCTTCTATCTAGGGAAATATATAGATTTCATGTCACCATTCACACATGGGAAGGATGACACATCTCAATACAAAATTCACTAATTCTGTCACCAACTAAAATAACATTAGTGCAAGAATAAGAAAAAAATGATTTGTCTTTGAACATTAGCATTTTTTTAAATTTGTATTTTCATCGAGAGATGTGGTGCTGATTGATAACCTGTACCTGTTACTCATTAGCATTTTTTTAAACTACGTTTTTATTCACTAATGCCTTTTTTTGCAAATGTTTTAATATACAAACAACCTCCCTTGGTCCCTCCTCCACCTACACCCCACCACACTCTCCCTAAGATAGTACAAGTATTTCTGACATTTTAACAATATGCACCAAGTTGATGGGGGTTATGGGGTTTTAAAAGTCCACACCATCCTACATAATATGTACTTCGCTTACACTTTGCAGGGTTAACATACTGTAGTTAAACTCTTAATTCAGTGATCAGATCTTGGCAAGCTCTTCAATTGCTTGGCACTATTCATTATTAAGTTTTCTTGAAATGACCCAAGGAGAACTGATTATGATATGTGTGTGATTTAGGTCTCTTGACACAGTACCAGTGAATAGGACACACACTCAATTAAACATATGCAAAATTTGTTTTACATTACTGATAACAGATGAAATGATACAAATTAGATCCAGAAATAGCTGTCTTTAAAGGAGAAGTAGGGACAAATTTCTTTTGGCCCTACTTCTGTAGCTCACAGGCGTGCATTTCGTTCTGCACTCCTGTGACCCATATTCAGCTGACAACAGCTGACGTCACTCAGCCAGTCCAGACTATAGAGGGAGCCCAGCTTTAATGTCTACCCAGATGTCTGTCCAGCAGCTGGCTCAGTCTTTCAGCAAGCCTCAGCGGCTGAGGATAGATGCATCACTGGATCGATGCTGCATCCACCTAGGTGAGTATTTATGTTTGTTTTTCAAAACCCACAATTCTGTTTTAAGCTGGCCATACATGGATAGGAATTTGTCCCGTTCAGCAGGGACCAGCCACATTTAGATCCATGTAAGGGCAGGCTGGTTGTACAGAAGCCAATCTACCGATCAGCTTCTGTACAACCACCCTCTCGGAGTTTTGCTGCTCAATCAGTGTGTTCTGATGACCTGGATGTCTTTCCACTGTCAGAATGCATTAGCACAGCAGGGAGGATTCTCTCAGCCACCATGAATGTGTGGACAGGGAATAGAGTCATTTTTTTTCTTTCAACTAGAAAAAAGCGACTCATCTATGGCCGGCCTGAGCCTCATTCAGTCTATTCCCCTACAGGATCTGACGTTGCAGTCATCTTGCACTGCCCACTATTGAATTGTAATGGTCATGATGGCATTTCTCACACCAAAGAACCCTTGAACCAGTATACTTTTGAATGGTGGTCTTAGTGTTAAAAGCAATGGCTCAACAGTACATCCAGACTTCCACATATGGAGCTCCAATTGCAGCTCCACTCCAAATGCTTTAAAAGCCACTAGGCTACATGGCTAGCTACTGCTAATTTTGTTTCTATGTTAGAATTTATCCACATGTGAATAGATGTAAGAAAACAGTAGTTGACCTGTGTTTTGACTACTCCCTGACCTGGCAAGGTAACATGGCCATGTTTTTGTATACATTGCCGCAGTTGCCTTGTGGTGCAATGAATTTGATACGGCATGTAACGGTTGCTTGGCGGTTCAATGGGACCTAGATGCAACCATATTGCAAACACATCCAAGGCATGCGGTTGCCACACAGTCTAGCAGGAGTTCAATATAAAATCTCCTTTGGGGATAAAAATAAGGCATTCAGTAAGTGGCATATAGCCTCCTAAATGCCTATCAACTGGCACTAAACCACCTATAAAAACTGTTCCATTGTGGATCTCTGTTCAGAGTTGTTTACAAACCTGCATGTGAAGAAGGCCTTAAGCAATTTCTCTGTGAATTCTTTTCCTGCCTTCAGTGCAATGCACACTAATAAATTGATATGAAGATTAGATAATAAGTTAGCATTTCATATACTACATTACTTTGTTGACCAATAACAAAAAAAATAACAGAATTCCAGTAAACCTACTTATTTGTGTTATCTCTTATACAACTTCAATATATGAATTTATTGTTTCTTGCTTTATGTTTTCCCAGAGTTACCCTATCCAACAGTATAAAACCCACTCACCAGAGCAGCCAGATTTATATACAGTATCATTAGTATAATGGACAATTAGGAAAATCTCTTGTGCACTGTTTATACAGATAATTAATTATATTTTGCCATTTCTTGTAGCCCTGATGAAGAGGGTTCCCCACACCTCTGAAAAATATTGGCTTTTAATCGAATGTAAAATTAGTTCTGGACACAATCAGCCTCACATTTTCCTCCCCGCTTCTTTGGTTTACCTAAGATATTAAAATCCAATAGTGATTTTAATTTTTTCCCACTCTAATCAAAGATACAAAAATAATTATATTGGCAGGAATTAAAATTTAATTTGTTTTTGAGGGTATTTTAGGACAAACATACTTTAATCTTTTAACAGTTAGTGTAGATGTTGTGAAGAAAATTGCAGTTATAGATACCCTTGTCAAGTGATTTTATGATCCATTGTTTATTACTGCTAATAGACAGAAGGACCTTGCATTG